TAAAGAGCTGAAGAAGAAAATGGCCATTTAGACACTGCTTTTGAGGAAGTGGGGGGGAAACAAGAGCTTAAAGAGGCTGATAAGATTGATAGTAACTAGGAGTAGACTGATTATGTAAAACAGAGAGATGGGATAAATGCAAGAAAAAGTCTCTGAAGAAGCTCCAGGAAGATGAGATCAAGGTATAGAGAACCTTGGGAGAAAGGAGGGAAAGTTAGCTCAGCTTGACTGGAGGGAAGCCATGAATATAAGCATGGATGAATTGGTTGGCTAATCTAGTGATGGAAAATGAAATGTTTCTTTCTAGTCAACTTTTATTTTCTCAGTGAAACTCAAGAAGCTTTATCTAAGAGTCAGCAGTAGTTCATTCCTGTAATCCTAGCTACTTAAGAGGCAGAGATGGGAAGAATGGGTTGAGGTAAGTCTAGGTAAAAAGTTCTTGAGATTCTGTCTCAACAGAAAAATCTGGGAGTGGTAGTATGCGTGTTTCATCTTAGCTATGTGAGGAAGCATAAATCAGAAGACCCAAGACCAGGCTGTCCTGGGGAAAAAGCATGGCATGTCTTAAGCACGTACCTAATAAGAAGGAAGTCCTGAGTTCAAACATAAAAGAACAAATGTAAGGCACCTACAGATAGTGTTTGTGTTATGAAAAGAGAATGATGATGTACCAAATAGTGATATATTTCATTTCACATTTTCAATGCTATGGACTTTTCCTCTAATTTTCCATATAAAGACACCAACAAATCACTAAAAATGTATACAACTATAAAATTGTCACAATTGTCATTATTTTTTCTTTTCTATCAATCTATAACAGAATTCATACTCTAATAGCAGGTTATATATACTATTTAAATACTTGTGTTATGGGATAAATAGACATCTGTCACATGTCAGAAGAGTGGTAACAATTTTTTATTACTGATAGTTACTATTTGCTAGTCATTTGACATTAAAATTTTTTTTATTTCAAATGACTAGCACATAGTGGTTATGCTTGTGCTTTGCTGAACTCTTCAATAACATTTTGTAAAGTTGAGTGACAGTTTTCATAAAACTAACGTTTTTTGTATCTCTAAAGTCCTTATCAAAGTGTAGCTAAATTGAAGTCAGTTCTCTATGGTGTCTTTACACATTTCACAACAAATTTTATTTTGGACTATCTTTTCAAGACTATTATTTGTGTTTGTAACCAGCCTTGAAAGACAGAGATTCCTTTGGAGGAAAGCTATTCTGTTGAAAATAATAAAAATAATAGCTCTACCTACAATATATTGGCCAGGTTTGTTAACAGTCCCTTATTTTAAAACTTGAGATTTCCTAAAATCAAAACTCTTCAGGGAAGACTTAGCTGGCTCATTTCATAGAATCTGACCAAAGGGAGGTCTAGGAAGCCATCAAAAAGTGACACAAATAAGCAGTATGAAATGCTTAGGAGGTAAGGGAAAATTACATCCTGTACTTTCAAGAACAAGTCAGGGGTCAAGACATGATCAAAAGCAGGAAGTAAAGGTCCCAAAACACTGGATCTCATAATATGTGCTATATGGTGAAATCCAATGGAAGTCTTTCAAAAGGGATAAGGAAACATCATAAAACAATAATATGCTGAGTTATGGAAAGTCTCCTTCCTCTTAGATAGGCCTTCGGGAATGCCCATATTACAATTTCAGCAAATTAAGTAAATAATCATTTATATGTACAAACAATACATATGAATTTCAAATAACTGAAGATAAATTTAAGATATTGAAGTTACAGGACACTTAAACTGTCTTTTAAATTCAGAAATTGCATTGCATTTCTTCTCAAAAGTGTTAAAGTGAAAACACTTTTTTTTTAAAGTAGTGATAAACTTTAAAAGTATGTGTTTTCTTTTTGAGGGAAGATAAAATGTCAAATAAACTATTCTATTGTGCTGTTTGTATCTGCTTTTAAATGCACTTGGCCTTTGAGATCTAATTTGACTAATGTTTGGTGCTGAACTTCTTTTTTTTTGCGGGGGGCGGGGGGGTGGGGGATCTGGTCATGGGACCTGAACTCTGGGCCTGGGTGCTGTCCCTCAGCTCTTCAGCTCAAGGCTAATGCTCTACCACTTGAGCCACAGCGCCACTTCCTGCTTTTTTTCTTTTTGCTTATGTGGTGTTGAGGAATTGAACGCAGGGCCTCAGGCATGCAAGGCAAGTGCTCTACCACTGAGCCACCTTCCCAGCCCCTGGTGCTAAACATTTTTTTCTGAGGAAAATGTCAGAATGGATAACCGATGTTTAGCTGGCTTTCCATACTATTAGTTGAATTGAGTAACCAGGAGACTACTGCCTGAAATCTTAATCCTCAGACTTTTAGAATGTTGTCTACTCCACCAAAATAGCTTCTCCCTAGAAGTAAGGGCTACCAAGTAAGTGAGTGAGTAGGAAGGTAAGAAGCTGTATGAATATTGGCATATGTGACAGCTATTTATTTATTTGCTATTTGTGTATGGCGGCAGCTTGCCTATCAATCCTTATGGAGCTTATCTTCTGGTGGGGCGAAGAAGAGAATGACAACCAGAAATTCAAATAATTCTTCAGGTGATAGCAAGCACCATGGAAGAATATAGAGCAAGAGAAAAAATAAGGAGTGTTGGGAGTTGGATGTTAGTGGTGTCAGTTCTGTAGTTCAAAACTTAAACTTGGTCACAGCATTCCCGGATCAAACCCATTAAGTCTACCTCTGTGAACTGGGGAGCAAGTTGCTTAATTATATGATCATCAATTTTTTATTTACTCCTAACAATAATCACAGAGATGGCTATTATCAATATCCTAATCTTGCATGAACACAAAGTGGTTAAATTACTTTTTCAAGGTTAGTCATAGAGCTAGATTTCAAACCTAAGAAGTCTTAATCCAAATCTTTTGCTCTTAATTGTTGTAGAATACTGTCTAATTCTTATTAAGCTCCAGAAAGTTAAATTAATCAATCCTTAAGGAAGAGAAAAGAGGATGCTAAAAAATACTGGCAGACAATTTGAACCACTGGATTTTTTTTTTTTTTTGCCAGTCCTGGGGCTTGAACTCTGGGCCTGGATGCTGTCCTTGAGCTTGTTCAGTGCAGGGCTAGTGCTCTACAAATTGAGCCACAGCACCACTTCCAGCTTATTGGAAATAAGAGTCTCATGGACTTTCTTGCCCAGGCTGGCTTTGAACTGCAAGCCTCAGAACTCAATCTCCTGAGTAGTTAGGATTATAGGTTTGAGCCAGAAAAGTACTGGCATTTTTAAGAATTCTTTGGTACAGTGTAGATCAAATTGCTTTAGGAATCATGCCTTGACTTTGAACTTAAGCCTCTAGGTATAGTAAATTAGATAGATGATATTCTTGTCGTCTGCTCTCTTCAATAGTAACTTATTTACTCCAATGAAGGATGGTAAATTCTTTGGAATAAATATAAGATACTGTGGTTGCCCATGGAGTAAAGTTTGGAAGATACAAAACAAATAACCAACTCTTCATAGCTTACAAATACTTTTTCCACTATGCACTATGTCTTGGTATAAGTCACAATGCACACTTAAATTACATGCTTTCATGTAGTAATTCACTCAGTTATTTCAACAATGCTGGAAGAAAAGCAATGAATAAATAAATGATTCATGTCTCATAAGTACAAGGACTCAATGAGACCAAAGGTGAGAGTGAGGAATGTAAAAGTATAAGGGAGAATGTGTGCTACATCACCTGTTTTTCATTCTCCTCATCTTGATTTCAATAATTATATCAGAAGAAGCAGCATCGTTGTAATTGATACAACTTAAATAATTAAAACAATATCAAAATTAGTGTAGTTTTTAATAAAACAAAGTGGTGGATAAATCATCTCTAATATAAAAATTGATACACAGATCATTTCTACATGTTCTCACCTTTAGGAGACTTTAACTGCTCTATTAACATCTGTTGTTTCAGCTCTTTTAGGCCAATCCGTGGGGGTTCTTACCTTTCACATTTCTGCCTGGAATTACCTTGCAAGAGGAAAAAATAATGGCTCTTGTATATGTGGGTGATGCAGCCCAGGGTATGTTAGTGATAGTTATCCATTTATTTAGCAATTATAGATGATTTCATGTGTTATCACACTGGATCACTGACATACTCTTGTACAGAGGGGTTACAATTACATGGGGCAAGGTAATGAGTACATTTCTTATCAAGCAGTGTTGCCTCCTCCTTTGTTTCCCCTTCCCTTCCCTTCCCATCTCTTCCCCCATGTCCTCCCCCAATGCCAAAGTTGTAAAGTTTGTTTTTCAACATAAAGTCTTGTACATCTCATTGTTGCAATGGGTCCACCTGTATCCCTATTTAAACAATTTGTTTTTCCCCTTTCCCTCCACAAATTATACCAACATCAAATACAGTGAAGACAGGGGTTATACCATGGGGGATTGACATACAAAGCAGCAAAGAAATATCTTACAAATATGTTAGAAGCAATAGCAAGAAAGAAAAAATATTTGAGTCCTTATCTTGGGGTTTATTTCGCCTAACATCACCTTATCTGACCGTTTCTGCTTGTCTCAGCATATGCTAGTTATTGCAAATAAGGGAAACCATGGGACCTCAGTTTCTTTGGGCCTGGCTTACTTCACTTCATATAATTTTTTCCAAGTCTTTCCATTTCCTAACAAATGAGGCAATGCCATTCTTTCTGATGGAGGCATAGAATTCTATTATGTATATATACCACATTTTCTTGATCCATTCATCTACTGAGGGGCATCTGGGTTGGTTCCATATCTTAGTTCTGGTAAATAATGCTGCAATAAGCATAGTTGTGCTGGTAGCTTTAGTATGGTCTTGTTTGTGATCATTCGGTCTACTTCTCTCCTGTGTCCATGCTTTGGTTGATTTCATTTAGGGCTAGCATTTCCAAGATCCAGGACCAAATCTGTTAGTAAGTTCTTGATGTATATATTTTTATATTCAGTATTTATACAAAATACCCATCTTTATCAAATAAATATTTCTTTTTTTTAACACTTCACGAATTTTCATGGGGCCATGCTAATCTTTTCTGTATCGTTCCAATTTTAGTATATGTGCTGCCAAAGCGAGCGCAATATTTCTTTTCTTTTTTGTCAGTCATAGGGTCTGGGTGCTGACCCTGAGCTCTTCAGCTCAAGGCGAGTGCTCTGCCACTTGAGCTACAGTACCACTTCTGGTTTTCTGGTGGTTAATTGGAGATAAGAGTCTTATGGCCTTTCCTACCTGGGCTGGCTTTGAACTGTGATCCTCAGATGTCAGCCTCCTGAGTAACTAGTATTACAAGTGTGAGCCACTGGTGCCCAGCTAAAGTGAATATTTTTAATATTATACTAGCAATAATATTCAAAAAATTAAACATTATTTAGTATTAAACAGGAGTTGCTGGAGCTCTGTAGGTTCCCAACTGGTTCCTTGGGCTAGGTGTTAATCCTTTAGTTACTGGATCATTATGTTGTTTGGCAATTGTGGGGTGAAGGATAGGATATCTAAAAAAAAAAAAAAACCCAACAATGTAAACAACATTCAAGAGACTCAGGATAAGGTCTATCTATCTCTAGTAGAGAATGTTTCAGTATTTTAGCAATTGAAGGTTGTGTTATGACTATGTGCCTGCATTGTTCCCAGTCTCTCAATGTACACTACACACTTCATTTCCAAAGTGATCATTTTAATACACTAGCCAAATCATATAAATCCTTTGTTTGAAATTCTCCAAAGGGCTCCCTGTCACCCTTTAAATAAAATGCAACTTTTTTTTTCTTTTCCTTTTTCGTTCTAGGGATTGAACCCAGGATGTTGCACTTGCTAGGCAAGCACTTTGCCACTGAGCTACATCCCAGCCCCAAATCCAACTGTTTTTTACATGAACAAATACTTGAATTCCTCGCCTCACAACATTGTCTCATGACTTTTTCCTAAGCCGTCATATGACAGTTCATGAGGACTCTCCAATATGAGGGATAACTTCACTCTAATTAAAGTTTTTCAGAGGACCTTTTCTGGCTACCCAATACTAGGAACAGTACTAGTCATTCCCTGCTTCATCACCTGTTTTAACTTTCTACATGAAAACCCTTGCTGTCTGTTTGTATTTCCACTGTTTGTCTCTCTTTACCAGTAAGTTAAGCAGAATGCTCACTCTTACTTCTTTATACTCCACACCTTGATGTTCACTTGTCACATGAAGATTATTTCTGTGAACTGAATGTCACAATGTAAAACAGGAATGTATGGACCTACATCGAAGAAATGAGATCATGGACATTTCACTACAATTGAAGCACTTAAAATTAAGAAGGTAATATGAAAGAGAATCTGTTTCTTATGATCAAGAATTTTACCTGTCCCATGTAGTTTGGAAATGCTGAAAACACATCCTTTCTGCACAAAATATTCTAGCAGCTAAGTCACTTTGTAGCTACAATAAATGCATTTACCTAAATACTAGCCAATTCTCACAACACTCTTACATTATAAAAATGATGCTAAGGTGTAAAGACTATAATTATGAAGTATTTTGATAAAACAAAGAAGGAAGCAAGGAATCTGGTAATTTCTTGAGATTGCTTATTTTTTACTCTGCTTATTAATTCAAACTAATATCAGGCAAATGTGTATTGTTGTTTGATAATCCAGTAGTTTATTTTTAATATGTACCCACTTTACTACATTAAAGCAAAAAAAAAAAAAAGGTATAGAAAATTCTGCGAATCTGGAATTCTCATATGAATGTGAAAATATCACTACTCTGCTAGACTTGACTGGTCTTCTATTGCTTAGGAATAGCTGGTCTGAGGGTCTGGGGAGAGCTTTTCCTGTTGCAGATTTTCTGTGTCTGTTTCCTTCAGCTGTATCAGATAGGAGCTGGGCTAGAAGTGAAACATGACATTCTGACAGGGAATCCAGCAGACAGATTCTTGGCTACATTCTCCGCTACACTTGAACTTCTGCTAAGCATGTGATGAAAGAGTGTTTTCAACTGCACCAGCTGTGGAGAGGTTAATAAAACAAAAGGGAGAAACAAAAGCACTCACAGCAGACAGCTTCTGGCTTTGTTGAATTTCTCCTTACAGTTATTTTGAGAGCTGTAACTGCTGTGTTGTTTTGGCCTTAAAATCATTGAAAGCAATTTGAGCTTCTGAATTAAAAATGTAAGGAGAATTGATAAGTAGCAAATCAAATGCACCTTTACACATGCTGGTAGCTGGAAATACAAACAACGTCTACTTTGTAACAGCCAACTGGAAATTAGGAAGCTTGTATCATTTTTCTGTCCCTCCTGATCATTCTGCTGTAAGTAGAAAAAGACACAGCTTTCAGATGTTCACCATGAGCACGAATCAAGGTGGTCTTGGCATAGTAGTCTCAGAGCCCCTCTTTCTGTGTCTCACTGCGCCAGCAAAGGATCATGGAATGTGGAGTCTTGCCCAGCCTGCTTCTCCAGAGGCGGTTGCTCAATCTTGTCTTGTGGAGAGAAGGTCAACTGCTGACCCATGAGCCATTTAAACTGGAACGAATAAATTAAGCAGTCCCTTGGGGAGACTGGCCACAGAGACCCTTTCCCAGAAGTTAGAGTGCAGGATACAGAAGATGCAGACCAATGACTGATTTTCCTGTCTCCTCCAGTCTTCTTCTTCTCCATGGCTAAGGTCCAAAACAACATACTGGAGTCAAGTGTGCTAAGATCACACCTCCAAAATCCAAAGGAACATAGAATAAGGGGTGTTGTCCTGTACACTGCTTCCACGGGAAGAGGGAAATTAAGCAAACTTTTTACTGTCAACCTTACTACTTCCTGCTTACCTGGAGTTCTGTTATATTAGGCATTTGGGGGGAATAATGAATGTAACTTACATATGTCACCTGAGAGATGCAATGTTTATATTTCTGGAGTTGAGTTTGGGGCAAAACAAAATTATGGACATCTAAAATCCTCAATAATCCAGTGAAACATTAAGTTCCTTCTTTCTTTCTTTCTTTCTTTCTTTCTTTCTTTCTTTCTTTCTTTCTTTCTTTCTTTCTTTCTTTCTTTCTTTCTTTCTTTCTTTCTTTCTTTCTTTCTTTCTTTTTCTTTTTGCTAGTCCCAGGGCTTTGACCTTGGGCCTGGGCATTGTCCCTGAGCTTCTTTTGCTCAAGGCTAGCACTTTACCACTTGAGTCACAGCACCACTTATGGCTTTATGTGTTTATGTGGTACTGAGGAATCAAACCCAGGACTTCATGTGTGCAAGGCAAGCACTCTACCACTAAGCCATATTCCCAGCCCCATTAAATTATTATTATTTTTTTTTTTTGGTCGGTCATGGGGCTTGAACTCTGGGCCTGGGTGCTGTCCCTCAGCTCTTCAGCTCAAGGCGAGAGCTCTACCACTTGAGCTACAGCGCCACTTCCGGTTTTCTGGTTGTTTATTGGAGATAGGAGTCTCATGGTCTCTCCTGCCCGGGCTGGCTTTGAACCGCGATCCTCAGATCTCAGACTCCTAAGTAGCTAGGATTACAGGCATGAGCCACCAGCGCCTGGCTCCATTAAATTATTTCTTAACCCACCTAGTTTGTCTAAAATTTATCTTCATCATTTCATCCATCAGTAAATTCTGCAGGAATGAAATGGATTGTTTGAGAGACTTTCTGAGTAGGTGCAAAACTCCCAGTAAGTCATAACCCTGGTTTCCTCTCCAGTCTTCATCTGGTTTAAGTTCATGTCCAACAGTCTTCTCATCAGTTGTGCAGTCCCTGGGAATGCCTTCTGTGTGGCTTCTGGTCTTATGCTGCCCAGACACAGAGAACCATGAATTTACCAGGACAGAAATACACATGTCCACACAGGCACCAATGTCTTCATTTCACCAGGTTTGTAAATAAAGAAAGATTAATGACAATACTGAGGAATCTAACATGATGACAAATGTTATTTGATTTACAAAAATGTCATCTTCCAAGAGATCTTTTGGAGAGTATTCTGTCACAAATGAGATATACTTCAGACATACTGGGGAGAAATAAAAGAGGGTAGGTAAGCAAGTGTGGAGAAGATCTTATCTTGCTTGGAATAGAAGCTAAGTTGACCCCAATTCTTTTCAATATGACCATAAAATTAGCAAATAAATATGAGCATGTTGAGATAGTGATATATTTATCCTATCCTTTCCCACTCTGTAGCTAGCCTGAGAGGCAGTTAGAAACAGCCAGTATTTTTCCATTCGTCCATGTTATCTGTGCAAACAGATCAAACAACATGCCTTCATGTGATTTTTAGGAAGTCACTGGCAATTTACAAAAAAGATTTTTAAGGAGAAAGGGCATGGGGAATGCAGTTACGAATCCAATGTATATCCTACAAAAGTAAGAAAAGTGAGGAAAGCGGTGGGTTGGGAGGGATTGTAACATAGATCAAGGTACATTGTGCTTACAAACCGCCTTGTTAGATGGCCAACTCCTTTGTACAACTACTTAAAGGTAATGCAATTTTTTAAAAAAAGAAAAAGATTTTTAAAGAATGGCTTCAGGATGAGGTATCCTCGAAGATAACAGTTAAAAAAATCTTAGCATTAGAACAAGACTATGTATATTGTAGCTTATTTTTATATGGCTCAGTTGTTGTTGTTGTTTTGTTTTAATCTCTAAAGTGGGGTTGAAGGCCTGGCTAAATATAAGGGAAAAGTTCAGTATATGTATAAAACTAAGTCACCTAGAGTAAATTCACAGTTCTACTCCCTTCCATGTAATAAATACAAAAAAAGATTTACCCAATTTGATAGCATCAGTGACTGTAACTAGATTTCCATAATACGGTCTTTACAAGCATATACAACACAGAAAGCAAGAGGAGTTTTGAGAAAACATCTGGATTCTAACTGGATTCTTTGCATTTTCTTCAGAAGTTTTGGAATGTATAAGCTCACCAGGCAAGCAACCTACAGAGATTTCAAATTATCTTTGTCTTGGTTTGGAAGAAGTAGAAATAGCCGAACTATTGACTGTGGAGTCTCTGTGGGTTTCCCAAAAGACAAGATGTGCTGTGTGTGGAGCCTTCGATTGTGGAGGGGCAAAATTGCAGGGCTTGGAAGAAAACATT